ATATTTCGCGTTATGTGAATATCATTATACCGCATCTTCTTGCTAGATGTATAGAACCTACCTTAAGTATTGATTGCGAATATTCAGTATTTTGTGACTTACGAATTATCCGAGTTGTCGCTGGAATAATTTCTACAATAACAAGGAGTCTAAATACGAGGTATGTTATTTCGTTGTATTCAGATATGATAATTATGCCATAGATATTTATTTATCTTCATATTATATAGTGAACAAATTGCATTTATCGGCAAAATATTTGAACTATTCACACAAGGAAATACTAGTTATCTTCAGTCCCTGTTATCTGAAACAAACGTTCCGTTCAATCCGTTAGCAGTGGGTTTCTAATGCAATTCTTTCAATGTTCTACAAAATGGTTTACGTTTTTGATGTGTTTTGTGAATTTAGTTAGAATCAAGTTCGTACCAGAAGAACCTAACCTTATGTTTCACAGCCGCTATAGGATCTATTCGGCAAGAGGTATGCACTTGGTTCTAGCATAATATATTTAATATGAGTCACTGGGTTTGCAGGTTAAATCCGAATTACAGGGTTGTTATTCAGACAATATCTAATGAAAAAAAATATTATTAGACTTCATATGTCAAACTGCTTTTTTTATATGTCTAATGGGTCTAATCAGCCACAATTTGACAACCTTGCGAATTAGGTCCAATCTACATTATCAGATATATTTGAATTCCTGACAAAGATAGTTAGGATTTGCTTATACACTACAAACGAAGTACAGCAAGATTCCTTGGCTCAATTAGCTGCTTCAATATTAAATAAGTGGGATCAAGGTAAATAAATAACAATGGTTTTATCTATATGTGATTTAATAATATTATGATGCTAATAGGTATTTTAATTTATAGAACCTGAATTAATGCAATTTATACGAGAACAAGTTCTTGGTGAATTGTTAGATCAACTATCTTTCGCATCTGGGTTAGAAACTACTAGACGTAAGTCTTTATATCTCTTTCTTTGGGTGAGTTATAGGCATTTTCGTATATTGAATTCAATCACATTTGTTAACGCTGAAATAAAAGCTAACAGTGTTGTAATTATCAGCTCACCAAAGCATTAGTGTTACGCACGCATCAACTTGGCTATGATTGTACTGGCAAAGTCATAAATCTATTTAGCGATCCTACTTTGGGCAAACAATGTGCTGAAGGTATTGGTATTATTATTGGTGAGAATGAAATCTTAAGTCGACAGGGATTTGCGGTCTTGAAGGTATACATTGTAATTTATGATTTGAAATTTAATTTAGATTCATTACGTACTAATATCAAATTATAATATAGATACTCTATAAGCAACGGTTCTTTAATTATTGCGTACCTATAACAATAGAGCGTTTCAAATCTTCGGATGATGGTACAGTCATCCCTCCACATAGTCACCTCCCATATAATCACATAATATATAATCACATTTATGTTTTAGGCCAAACTATTTAGAAGAAAAAAAAACTTACATATAAGCAATCAATACTTAAGGTAGGTTCTATACATCTAGCAAGAAGATGCGGTATAATGATATTCACATAACGCGAAATAT